ACCTGGCAGGGGAGATACCATGATCACGAAGGTAGTTTTCCCAGGGCAAGGCTTATCCATTACACTCTGGATGTGATGATCCCTGTGATTTCCCCATATATGGGAAACTTGACTGCATACTTTGTGGTAGTGGGGGACTGTGTTCATGCTCTCCACTGGAAAAAAAATCAATTAAAAAATGTCAGTATTCATAATAGAGAAGCAGTTGTATAAGCCAATGTTGTCTTTATGTTGATAAAAATGCTTTATTTCACTTGTAATCATAAACACTATTTCAGTAAAAGAGGTACATTTTCTTTTTTTGTTGTTATTACTTACATAATCACCATAAAAAATTAAAATGAAATAGCTCTTATATTGTCAAGGCAGAAAAGAAATGAGAGAAACCCAACATGCCACAGTCTAGAGAATCTGCCTAGCACTGCAGCCTGTGATGGAGGTATTTTGTCCTCTCCTCTTCCCACTTCAATTACCTTATCACCCTGATCCCAACCCCCAAATTTTGCTGGATGGGAGGTTTACCAAATGATGGAGCTTAGTTAGATGAGAAAGTTGAATAGAAAGTACAAAAGGTGGAGAGGCCTGCCTTTCTCTTTTTGTTATCACAAATGGGGTTTATTAATACTGCAGGGTATCCTTCATGGCTGATGCCTGATTATAGGCTTTGACTAGGCCTTGGCTTTTCAAATAGTCATTGATCAAATTGTGATGTGCTCCTGTTGAATCTGCTCTCTGATGTGTCTCTTTAGTGGTCTTCTCTTAAATTTTTAAAAATGTTTTTATTGATTTTTTTTTTTGAGAGAGAGAGAGAGAGAGAAACATCGATGAGTATGGATTGGCTGCCTCCTGCATACCCCCAACTGGGGATCATCCCTCGACCTGAGCATGTGCCCTGACTGGGAATCAAACCAGTGACCCCTTGGTCCATGGGTCAATGCTCAACCACTGAACTACACCAGCTGGGCAATGATTATTTATTTATTTATTTATTTATTGTCCTTTATTGACTTTAGAGAGAAAGGAAGTGAGAGGGAGAGAGAGATAGAAACATGGATGAGAGAGAACATCGATTGGCTACCTCCTGCATGTTCCCCACTGGGGATTGAGCCTACAACCTGGGCATGTGTCCTGACCAGTAATCGAACGGCGACCCCTGGTGCATGGGTCAACGCTCAACCACTGAGCCACACAGGCCAGGCCAGTGGTCTTCTCTTTAAATAGATTACTTTCTTACTAGGAAAAAAAGAAAAAATTTCCACCTCTGGAATTAATCTTGAAGAAGTTCTGCTTATTCTAAAAGTTGATTTTTTTCCCTCCCTTGTCAATCATGCTGTTTGGCCTGACACAGCACATGCACTGTAGGTCAGCCAGAGCAGTTGAGGCTCTGCTGGATATTCTGGCCATGACACTGGAGAATTTTGGCCTGTAGATCTGCACAGACTTGATGAATCTCATACCACTTGAACTTTGCTTCCACCTCTTCAGCAGCCTTCTGATATTGCTCAGTGGTGTCTTTGCAGACCTCTGAGCTCCTCTCTTCCAATCTAGCCAGCTGCTCTTTGAATTTTAAAATTTTAAAAATTGATTTGAGAGAGAAACATTGATTTTGTTGTTTTACTTATTTATGCATTCATTGGTGGAGTCTTCTATGTACCCTGATGAGGGATCAAACCCACAACCTTGGTGCATGGGGACAATGCTCTAACCAACTAACCTACCAGGTTAGGGTCAGCCAGCTGCCCTTTGTTTTTTAAAGTATTTATTTTATCCTCACCCGAGGATTTTTTTTTTCCTATTTATCTTCAGATAGAGTGGGAGGGAGAGAAAGGGAGAAAGAGAGAAACATCGACATGACTGGTGGCCTCCCGCAGGGCCAGGACAAACCGAAACCAAGGTACCAAAGTATGGTAAGTGCCCTTGACCTGAATTGAACCCTTCACTCATTAGTCCGAGGGCCAACGTTCTACCGCTGAGCCAAACTGCCAGGGTGCCAGCTGCCCTTTGTAGGATGCATCCTGCTTGATCTTTCTAGTCAGCGGCTTAAACAGGTGCTTTGCCTTAGCGGTTCCTGTTCACTTCATATCCTCTCTAGAATAGCTCTGGTTTAATTGCTCATTGGCAAAAGCCCTTTTGGTCTATTGGAGGTGGCAGAAACAGCACCAGGTTAGACTGGTGGGGTCAGACCGGACCTGGGTTCAGCAACCTCAGTACTTGAGTTCTGGCTAGGAAAGAATTCAGAGTCAAGACCCAAATTATAAGTGAACATTTATTTGGAAAATCACAGAAGTAGAAGTAATTTGTAGAAGAAATGGGCTTAGGAAAGGAAGTAAAGGAAGGGCCCCTGGAGCTTGGGAGTGAGGAAGGTAATAGTAATGCACTTGAGAGGAGAGGGAAGGGGAAGGGAAAGTGAAAGGAAAAGTCTTCTGGTGAGGTGCTCAGGGGAGGGAGAGAGCACACTGGGTTTTTCACCTTAAGGGTTTTAAGGTGGGAGATTTTAGGGGAGGTCCCAGGGTAAGATCTTAATAGCATATTCAGCTTTCCAGATGTGTTCTTTCAGGGTCTAGATCTCCACTGACTGAATGGTCCATGCCAGGACAGGGGGTCATTATCCAATGCAGTTGATCATAAGGTCAGCCGTGGGGTCACTTGTCTGGTTTTGCTGCATTTCTGGGCTTGGAGCCAAAATACAATTTGAGGCCCAAATGTTATCTCTAGGAAGGAAAGGTCAGGGGGGGTCTAAAGTGAATGACCAGTGATATGCTAGAGGAGGAAAGGTCACTCTGGGTGTGGGGTCCCATTACCCCACAACTGTCCTCTGCTAGTCACCCTGGGCTTTCCGAAACCTGATGACCTTCTGTACCTGGCCCACTGTCCTTGCTCTGCTCATGTCTGTCTATCACAGGTCCAGTTCTTTGCCTTGCTTCAGTTGTTTCTGATTTTCAGATTCTGTCTTGGCTTGCTCCAGTGCCAGCTTCTGAGCTACTCTTCTTTTCACTTCTTCATCAGAAACTGAGGCACCATAGCACCAGAATAATGTTGAGACTTCCAGTCAGATGGAGAGGTTTCCTTCACATGATCAATCATATTTTCTGAAAGCTGGATGCTCTTCACCAAGGTGATGTTGTTTTCTGTCTCATCCACCTCAAAGGTGACCTAGCGGGTGCTGGAGGTCCAGCCTATGGCTTCTTCTGTCCCCACAGCATCCTAATGTGGACCCTCGAGCACTTCAGACCCCATGAAAGTACATGTATGCCCAGACTCTTGCCTTTCACGGGGGGAACAATATTAATATTTTGATATGTAACTTTCCATACTTTTTCCAAGCCTCTACAGCAGCGGTTCTCAACCTGTGGGTCGCGACCCCTTTAGGGGTCCAACGACCCTTTCACAGGGGTCGCCTAAGACCATTGGAAAACACATATTTCCGAGAGTCTTAGGAACTGAGACACCGCCCCTCTTTCCATCTCCAGGTGGGTTCGCCCACATGCAGATACACCCACATACAACATGAGGAACTGTATTCAAGGGTCACAGCATTAGGAAGATTGAGAATCACTGCTCTACAGTCACATTTGTATATGGGTTTGTATGTAGGTATATAGAGGTTTTTATTTATTGATTTCTCCTCACCAGAGGACATTTTCCCACTTTTGTTCAGATAGAGTGGGAGGGAGGGAGAGAAAGAGAAACATGATGTGAAAGCCACACATCGAGTGGTCCTCCCTCAGGACCTGGACCAGGGCTGGGACTGAACTGCAACCCAGGTATGTGCCCTTATCAGGAACTGAGCCCTGGTCTCTCTGGACAGCAGGCCGACACTCTAACCGCTGAGCCAAACCGGCCAGGGCAAGAAGCTTTTTCTTGATGCAGTTATATAATATTCTAAACTGCCTTATTTTTATTTTTTACTTAGATTTTCAATCCACCTGGAGTTTATTTTTAGTGTGAGGTAGGAATCTGTATTTACACTTTTCCACCTTAAGAACCAGTTTTGCCCCTGGCCGATGTGGCTCCATGGTTGAGCGCTGACCTATGCACCAAGAGGTCCCCACTCCGGCCAGGACACACGCCCAGGTTCTCACTGGATCCCGTGGGGGTATGCGGGAGGCAGCCAATCCATGTTCTCTCTGGTGGACGTTTCTCTCTCTAAAAACAAAATCAATAAAGAAAAAAATTTGAAAAAATAACCAGTTTTGCCAATACCATTTTTTCTGGTACGCACAGAATTGATACTACCTCCCTTATTTTTTAAATGCCCTTAACTGTAGTCAGATAGGTATGGCTTTGATTCATTCACACCAAGCAGCTACCCTTGCGTTGGCTGTCGTCATCGTGACTGAACAGTCAGGTATTCCGTGTTTTACGAACTCCTGCCCCACGCGGTGGAAAACCGCTGCTCCAAGGGACGGAGTGGGGGAAATCGGCTAGGAGGGAGGCAAGGAGCCAAGCTGTCAGAGCAGCGCGGCGGGTGGGGAGTGAGCCTGTCCCCTGCCCCTCCTCAAGCCGTTAGGAAGCCCGAGTGGCCAGCGTCTCTGAGGAGCGGCACCTTGGCCGGCTTCCTTCCTTCGCGCCTCCCCGGACTACGGTTCAACCCTTCGCTGACATCCAGAGCGCGCACCGTGTGCGAGGCGGGCGGCCGTGGACACTCACAGCGCGAATCAAAACTTGAGCCACCCCGGCGGCAGCGCCTTCAGGACGGTCGGGAGAGAAGTTGAGAAAGGGGCGAGCGGGGCTGCACTACGCGCCGCCGCCGAGGGGTGGGGCCGCACAGCCCCGCCGGCTTCTGCTCCCGGCCGCGCCGCCTCCGCCCGCCACGTGACCTGCGGTGTTGTGGTCCGGCTCGCGTGGGTGGCGAGAGCCGCGGGAGGGCGGGGGCGGCGAGGGGCGGGTCACGTGACGGGGTTTAAATCTCCTGCAGCCGGAGCCGCGGGGGCGCCAGTGCCGCGAGTGCGAGCGGGAGGAGAGGAGGTGAGGGAGGAGGCCAGAGAGGCAGTTTGAAGATGGCGGACGAGGCGGCGCTCGCCCTTCAGCCCGGCGGCTCCCCTTCGGCAGTGGCGGCGGAGAGGGAGGCCTCGTCGCCGCCCACCGGGGAGCCGCTGCGCAAGAGGCCGCGGAGAGACGGCCCCGGCCTCGGGAGGAGCCCGGGCGAGCCCGATGGGGCGGCCCCTGAGCGTGAGGTGCAGGCGGTGGCCGGCGGCGGCCCGGCAGCGGCGGCGGCGGGAGGGGAGCGGGAGGCCCAGGCGACGGCTGGCGGAGTAGGAGACAATGGGCCGGGCCTACAGGGCCTATCCCGGGACCCGCCGCCGGCCGACGACTTCGACGACGACGACGACGACGAGGGCGAGGAGGAGGAAGAGGCGGCGGCGGCGGGGATTGGGTACCGAGGTGCGCAGGGCGCGGGCGGCCGGGACTGCGCATCCCCTCCTTCCTCTCCGGGCCCCTCCTGGGGTGGGGTGCGGGTGTCGGGGGCGTGCTGGGTGGGCGCTGGGGGTGGCTCTGCGGCGTCCCTCTCCCTACCGCGGCCCTCAGCTGCGCGCCTCCGGGGCTGCCGCCCGGCTGCGGCAGGGCCCGTGGCTCGCTCCCCCCTCCCGGCTTTCCCTTCGTCCGCAGCCCGCTTGGGCGGCCTGTCGCTTTGCGCAGCCGCCGGCCGGGAAACTCTCGCAGTTGGTTTTAAAATAAGTTTCTTTTTCCTCCTACCCTTCTAGTCTATTGCTTTTGTTAAACATCATTCCCACTCCTCACCCCACCTCCCCAGCACACTTAAATCTGCAACTTTGGGCTGTCTTTTTGCACCGACCTTTTGTAGTTGTCTTTGCAAACTGACACCTGTGCAATTCGTGACTTGGGAGGATCTTAATTTTTACATTTGTCTTAAATTTTAAAGAGCAAATATGCTTCTAAATTCATAGCCTTCAAATTTTCAGGAGCATAGCAGTTTCTAACGACTGTTCTGTGGTGCAGTTAATAGTGGACATAAGAGAGTAATAGTACTTTTAGAGTACTTTATGTGAATAGTATTTTTTCTTTAATGTAATAGTTTTAAGATTAGGTATAATCCTTGATTGTGTATATATGTACCCCTGAAACAAGAATTGATATTTTCTGTCATACTAATCATATGTTAATTGTACATGTCATGTCATCCTTGAGGGTTTCATATTCTCCTGTGTGTGTGTGTATTTTTGTTGTTGTTAATCCTCACCTGAGGATATTTTTTCCATTGATTTTTTTTTTTTAGAGAGAGTGGAAGGGAGGCGAGAACTATGTGAGAGAGACACATGGTTTGGTTGCTTTTCACCTGCATTCCCCTCCCCCCAGGTTGAGGATCATCCTGCAACCCAGGTATGTGCCCTTGACTGGGAAATAGAACCCCGGACCCTTTGGTGCTCAGGTACACACTAACCATTGAGCCACACCGGCCACGGCTAGGGTTTCATATTTTTGATCTGAGGAGTTTTTGTCCTGGATAGATGTTCCTCTACATAAATATTTGCATCAGTGGCCTGGACGGTGTGGCTCAGTGGTTGAGTGTCAACCCATGCACCACCAAGAGGTTGCCAGTTAGATTCCTGGTCAGGGCACATGCCCAGGTTGTGGGCCAAACCCCTAGTGGGCATGCAGAAGGAGCCAATTGATGTTCTCTAAGATGTTTCTCTCTCGCGCTTTTCTCTCTCTCTCTCCAAACAAAAAATAATATTTGCATCGCCCTGATCAGTTTTCCTAAGTGGTTAGAGCGTCGCTTTGCAGACCAGAGTGTCCCAGGCTTGGTTCCCAATAAGGGCATGTACCTCAGTTGCAGTTTGTCCTGGGCCCCAATTGGGGTTGTGTGGGTGGCAGCCAGTCTATGTGTCTCTCTCACATCAGTGTTTCTCTCTCTTCCCCCCTCCCTCCTGCTCTATCTGAAGATATGGTGAGGATAAAGAAATACATATTTGTATCAGTAAATCTAATCAGTGGGCTTATCGGACCATATGTAACAATAACGTTCATTAGGGACTGCATTAGTTAAAAGGCCTCATTTCAAGAAACAGTTTAATAGGGGAGATGAATAAGGCAAAGCTATGTTTAATTAAAGTTTAGAGAAGTGCAAATTGCCAAAGTTTCATTTGAACAACATTTTTTATGGTAAAATTTTACTTGACAAGTTTAATGAGTTCCATTATTTGTGATTGGTAAATTCAGCCTAATTAGATTACTACTTTTTGTTTTTGGATTTAGTAGACTTAATTTATATCTAGATTTTTGATGAACTGAGATTTTTAGATTGTGGTTATGAACCATGCAAGGTGACTCAGTAGGCATTATTTTCTTTTTTTATATAGGTTTTTATTGATTTATTTTTTTAGAGAGAGAGGAAGGGAGAGAGAAACATCATTGGTTGCCTCTCAGGGATGGAACCCGCAACCGGTGAACTTTAGGTGCACTGGATATTGCTTAACCAACTGAGCCACACTGGCCAGGGTTCCATAGGCATTCTTGACACAGGCAGGATGAATGTTGTGTTTTATAAGATGGAAATTATCGCATCATAACCATTATAGATCAAAAATGTATTGATTTTTAGCAAGAGGAAGCGGGGAGGAGAGAGAGAGAAACATCAGTTTGTTGTTCTACTTATATATGCATTCATTGGTTGATTCTTTTTTTTTTTTTTTTTTTTTTATCCTCACCCGAGGACATTTTTCCATTTTTTGTACAGATAGAGTGGGAGGGAGAGAGAGAAACATCGACATGAAGGGACACATCGAGTGGCTGCCACCCGCACGACCAACCAGGGCCGGGGACAAACTGCAACCGAAGTACGTGCCCTTAGCGGGAACCGAACCCGGGTCTCTCTGGACCGCAGGCCAACGCTCTAACCGCTGAGCCAAACCTGCCAGGGCTGGTTGATTCTTATATATGCCCTGACTGGGGATCGAACCTACAATCTTGGCTTATCAGGACAATGCTCTAACCAACTGAGCTACCCTGCCAGGGCCCAGATTTTGATACATTTTAGATATAGATTGTTCAGCAGCCTTGAGTTGCTTTTGATTTCTTTTCCAGATAACCTTCTGTTTGGTGATGAAATAATCACCAATGGTTTTCATTCCTGTGAAAGTGATGAGGATGATAGAGCCTCACATGCAAGCTCTAGTGACTGGACTCCAAGGCCACGGATAGGTATGATTTCATAGCTTTAGAGAGTAAATGCCTTTTTGTTTGTATTTGTTTTATGTCAACTAAAGATGTAATTATTTGCCTCCTTATAACCTGGTGGTGTGGTTCTTTGGTCCTTGATAAGATTTAATTTTATTTTATGTTTCTAGGGAAAGTCAAGTACTTCTGTTTTTGTTTTTAAACATCTCAGGCCCATAGAAGCTGGCCACTGGTATTTCTCAAACAACTAGGTTCTTCTCATGCTTTAGGTCCTTGGGTCCTTTTCATGTGTTTCCTCTGTGTGGAATGCTCTCCCTTCAGTTAGACTCTAACATGGAGTATCTTGCTTTCTCCCTTCCTATTTGTTCTTCATTTTCCTTTAATACATCACTTTATATAATCTCTGAATCTTAACTTTTTTTTTTTTTAATAATTTTTTCTTTATTGATTTTAGAGAGAAAAGAAGGGAAAGTGAGTGAGAGATAGAAATACCAATGAGGGAACATCGATTAGCTGCCTCCTGCATGCCCCCCACTGGGGATCAGTCCCACAACCTGGGCATGTGCCCTGACTGGGAATTGAACCAGCGACCTCTTGGTACATGGGTCGAAGCTCAACCACTGAGCCACACCGGCGGGGCTGAATCTTAACTTTTTTTTTTAATCCTCTCCCAAGGACTTTTTTTTTTCCTGCATTTATCTTCAGATAGAGCGGGAGGGAGGGAGGAAGAGAGAAAGAGAAACATCGATGTGAGAGAGAGACATCCAGTGGTTGCCACCCACACGACCCAACCAGGGCCAGGGACAAACTGCAACTGAGGTATGTGCCCTTAGCAGGAACCAAACGCAGAAAACTCTGGTCCGCAGGCTGACACTCTCACCACTGAGCAAAAACAGCCAGGGTGAATCTTAATTTTTGTTATTGTTGTGTTTCCTATACTGAAATATAAGTCCCATTGGGGACAGGGAATTATTTATTTATTTTACTGATTTGTATGTTATTTTGTCAGTTTGTAGAAAAGTGTCTGGCACATAATCTGTGCTCAGTAAGCCTTTATTAACTATGTGGATGAAATGGGAAAGTACAAGATGGGCAAAAGTGGGTTTATAGTTGTAATACAACTAAATAATACAAGAATAAGCTGTTTCGTGTACTCACAACTGGAAATCTACTTTAGCGGTAGAGAACACTATCAGGTATTTATACTAAAGTTACAACATGACAATCTCAAAAGTGATCTTTTTCTTAATGTGCCTTCATTCTTGACTAGTTAAATATAGTGATAAGTTCCTCTTTGGTGTCTATAATAATATTATTGTATTTTTTGGTTTTTGTCAAGCTAGAAAACTGATCTAAGAAATTTCAAGGTAAAGAAATATTAATGCTCAAAACATCAGCATTATATGTATCATTGTGGAAGATTGGTTAAGATCAAATTGAATGTTAATGGAAAAATTTTAAAAGGTAGTAGTTATGTATAGCTTTCCTTAGATACACAGATTTCCTTTTCCCTTGTGTCTTTTTAACATTTTATCGCTTTTAGAGAGAGAAAGGAAGTGGGGAGGGGGGAGAGAGAGAGACACATCAACTTGCTTCACTTATTTATGCGTTCATTGGGGATGACTGTGCCCCGACTGGGGATCGAACCTGCAACCTTGGCATGTTGGGATGATGCTCTAACTGAGCTACTTGGCCAGGGCTTTCCTCTACGAATTTAATGATAAATAGTGTGGATTTTCAGGACTGGTAAGATCTTTCTTATATTGATTTGTATGTACTCCTGTTATTAATTGTAGTGTGTATTTCTGGATTTTAACCATCAAAATTTAACTCTGGTAATTAGTTTGACTCTTAAAATACATACTTTGGCCCTGACCAATGTGCTCAGTGGTTGGAGCGTCAGTCTCCAGTTCTGTTCATGGTCAAGGGCACATACCTGGGTTGCAGGTTCAATCCCTGCCCCAGTAGGGGCACGTGAGAGAGGCAACCATTTGATGTGTCTGTCTCTCTTTTTTTCCTCTTTCTTTCTTTCTCTCTCCCTGCCCCTTCTCCCCCCCCCATTCTCTCTAAAAATCGATGGAAAAAATATCCTTAGGTGAAGATTAACAACAACAACAAATACATTGCATTTCTTAGTTCAAGGGGCAGACTAAGCTCTTTATTTGTTGTTGTTAATCCTCAACTGAGGATATTTTTTCATTGATTTTTAGTGAGAGAGACACAATTGATTTCCTCCTGCACAAGCCTGGACCAGGACCAGGGCCAGGGCCAGGAATTGAACCTGCGACCCTTTAATGCACAGGACGCCACTCTAACCACTGAACACCAGCCAAGGCCCAACTCTTGACTTGATCTCTCTAATTTTATTGGGATATAGCATTAGCTCAGAGGATATCATGAGAATGAAATACTTTTATATTGCATTTTATTACTTTAGATTAAAAAAAAAACACCTTAATGATTGCTAATTCATTACTTCAGAAAATGAGATTTTGAATTGGATGTGGATTTGATCAAATTCTTTGTCTTTTTAATGTAGGTCCATATGCTTTTGTTCAGCAACATCTCATGATTGGCACAGATCCTCGAACAATTCTTAAAGATTTACTGCCAGAAACAATTCCTCCACCTGAATTGGATGATATGACTCTGTGGCAGATTGTTATTAATATCCTTTCAGAACCACCAAAAAGGAAAAAAAGAAAAGATATTAACACAATTGAAGATGCTGTGAAATTATTGCAGGAATGCAAAAAAATAATAGTTCTAACTGGAGCTGGGGTACGTAACGTATAAAATACGAGTGAAGAAGTGGTAAATGTTTTTTCTTAAGCCTTTTCCAATTAGACATTTTTCTAGTGTAGAAGAATTTGTCCTTCCTTAATAATAGGCATTTGTGTTTGGAAACTGCTAAAAAGTGAGTGCAGCAGCAGTTGCTAAATTGGTTGTTTTTAAAAGCCTCTCCAACAACCTTAAAGATTTGCTTCTGTTTTTTAGTACAGTAGGTAAATGGAATTAAGGCAAGATTTTTGCCTATATTGTACCACAACTTCTAAGGAGATTCAGAGAATTCTGCTTGCATTAAAGTGTGTCAGGGTGTGATAGAGAAATTGAGTATTTGTTCTATCTTCATGGGGAAACCATTAACCTAATTCATATTCACAAGTAAAGAACTTAGTGTTAGGAAGATAACAGTCCTCTCTCCCCTACATTTAAATTAAGGTGATGTGATTGAGGTGGTTTGACATTTTTTATTTGCCTTCCCCCATTAGGGTTGCAGTTAACTAGCTATGTAAAGCTATTGTGTTTTGTGTGTTGAATACATAAAAGTGACCAGAGTGATGGCTGGAGTAAAATTTAAAATTCAGTCCCGCTTTCTGCCATTTTGAGTTAAGGGAGAGTGTCAATCTTAAATAATCATCAAGAATAGTAATGCTTTGTTCCCAGACATGATTTAGACAAGTTTGATTTACTCTGAGGTCAAAGTGGAGTCAACTCTGGTAAAATTGTAAAACAAAAAGGTAACACTGAAATCCCTAAAATGTCAGGGTTTATTAGTAGACAAAGCACAGTATCTAAGTCTATTCTTAAAAATTAAGAATTGAAATATTGTACAACATTGTAGTTTAAAGAAAACATAGAAAGTTAGTATTCTTGAAGTAGCAGGCCCCTGACTAGATGAGAGATTTCTTTGGGAATACTTGACTATAGTAGAAATTTTTGCCTGCTTTCTGGATAAAATAATTTGAAATGATTTACTCCATTCTCAATCGAATTGTTATTGCTTTAATTTGTTAATCAAGTGCTAAAAGGTTAGAAATTTGTCTGACTTAAAATTTCTTACCCCATTATGAATAGAAGAATGTGATGGAGTTAGTAATAATTGTTTTGGGGGTGTTTTATTTCTATTTATGTATTTTTTAGGGGGGGGTTGTTTTATTTCTGTTTTCAATTGAAATAGGGTGGTATTTCTGTTTCCCCAAAAGAAGTTTCAAACTAAGATATTTTTCAACTACTCCTTAATTGTATAAGAGCAATTATAAAGATAGAGGTAGAAGATATAATTGTATAAATTATGCCATGTATATTGCAGGTTTCTGTTTCTTGTGGAATACCTGACTTCAGGTCAAGAGATGGTATTTATGCCCGCCTTGCAGTAGACTTCCCAGACCTTCCAGATCCTCAAGCAATGTTTGATATTGAATATTTCAGAAAAGATCCAAGACCATTCTTCAAGTTTGCAAAGGTAATATGATCTCTTCTAGTTCCATTGGCCTCCTGTCATGAAAAAGTATTTGTTCACATTAAAACTTCTTAAACTTAACATTCTTTGTCTAGTAAATTGGGTACTAGTATGGTGGTGTGGAGTAAGATCACTGAAATAGTCATTTCAGTCAGAATTCCTTTCTTCCCAGAAGGGATCGTTACTTACTTTTCTTCATTTTAGGATTGAGTTTATTTTCAATGAAGAGGCTATTTTATATTTTTCAAATTTATACTTCTGTAATAGCCTTTACGTTGTCCATACTTTTTTAGAGGTTAGTAAAACAAATAAAGTAACATCACTGTTCTGATTTAAAAATTTTTTAAATTGGTTATAAAGATTTTAACATCCGCTTTGGTACGCTTTATATTAGCCAGGTCTTCACACATGGGTATATAATGTGAGTAGGGGTGGAGAAGATTCTAAGATTGCATTTTGTCAAGGGTGCTCTGTTCTGCTCTAGAGTTTCTAGAGTTGCACAGTCCAGTTCAGAAGCCACTAGCCACATGAGTACTTCAGTGTATTAAGATGTGATGTAAGTGTTGAAGACGAACCAGATTTTAGAAACCTAGTATGGGAAAAATGGAAAATATATCATTAATTTTAATTTTATTTTTTATTTTCTCATTTTTTTGTTAGTCCTCACCCGAGGATATTTTTCCATTGATTTTTTTCCCCATAGAGTGAGGGAAGGGTAGGGGAGAGAGTGAAAGAGAAACATCTGTGTGAGAGAGACACATCAGTTGATTACCTTTTGCACACCCCTGACCAGGGCTGTGGATCGAACCTGCAACCCAGGTACATGCCCTTGCTTGACCAGAAATCAAACCCTAGACCCTTGGATCATGGGCTGACGCTCTAATTGCTAAGCCAGACTGGCCAGGACTCGTTAATTTTATTAATTATATATAAATAAATAGTGATTACATGGGGAAATAATGATATTTTTAAAAAATATATCTTTATGGCTGAAAGTATTACAGATGTCCCCCCTCCCATTTCTCCCCCTCCTTCCCTCTCCTGCCCTACTTTTGATATTGGGTTGTAAATTATGAAAATTTTATGCTTTTAATGTAATTACTAGGACATTTAAACTTTCATGCATGGCTCGCATTATATTTCTATTGAGCAGCTCTAGTCTAGAACCCAAAGCTTGATAATACATTTTACCAGCAATTTTCAACCCAGATGTTGCAAGAGGCACACAGGTGTGTCACAAGAATTTTAAGACATGCAATACCTGACTATGTAGTCAGGGGCACCGACCTCTTTTTCTTTAGATTATCAAATAAAAAATGACAACAGCCAACACAATAGCCATCCAGTGTGTATGAATCAAAATTACAGCAATTTTTTTGTTGTTGTTGAGATTGGCCAAAAAATAATCTCTTTGGTGTGCCATAGAATGTTAGTAATTAGTTTGTATGTGCCGTGAGATGAAAAGGTTAAAAATTGCTGCATTATACCACGTCTAAGAGATTTTAGTCATTAGGAAACGTCACTGTTGCTAGCTGGTGTTGCTCAGTGGTTGAGCATTGAGCCATGCACCAAGAGAGGTCACTGGTTTAATTCCCAGTCAGGGCACACGTCTAGGTTGTGGGCCTGATCCCCAATGTGGGGCATGAAGGAGGTGCCCAATTGATGTCTCTCTCCCTCTCTTTTCCTCTCTCTCTAAAATAAATAAAGAAATTATTTTAAAAATAAGAAAACATCATTGTGTTTTCTTTTTTTCTCCATAGTTTAGTCTTACAGAAAGAAATTATGAAATCGTTATTGCTAAGCTTTAGTATACTGAAATTTTTGTCTATTAAGTGACTATTTTTAGTGAATCTAGAAGTTAAATGAACCTGAATTTTAATAAAAGGGTAACCTCAGCTACTTTCAAACCATGTGGTCTATTTACATAACTATAAAAATTGTAATGAAAAATAAATAGGGTTTAAATTGGTGGACTTGTCTTTACAGAAACAGTATTTTGTTTAATCCAAATGTGGTTATAAATAGGAATTAGAGTAAAATTTGAATTATATTTAACTTTTTTGGATATGATTTAATTACTAAAACTGAAAACTAAATTTGAGAAATTTTTAGGCTAAGAATTTTTTATTTTTCTAACCATCAACTTGAAACTTCTGAAAATTCTGAATTTTTTACTTTATGTAAGCATAAAGAAATAGTAGTCATTTATATCTAGCCTTTAGAACCAGACACCTGGTTCACACTGAATTACATAAATAATATAAAGTTAGTTTCTTTACATTATTCTCTTTTTCTTAATTACAAGCTTATGAAATAGTGAAGATTTACTGTTTTAACTTACTGATGCTAGTAGTACTAATGCATGATTTTGCAGACCAATGAAATATCAGTTATAGGTTTCTTGAATTGGATCTAAGATACTAGCAGTATAATGGCTCTAGTTAGCAGAAATTAACACTTAGAAGGCCAGCAAGTAACTAGAAACTACTTTGATCTTATTTCTGATTATTAAAGCTTGATTCACTAGCCCATTTATATAATGCTTGTAGACTTGCTGTAATTCTGTATTCTGTGAGGAAAGAAAACACGTTGCCCAAACTAACTTGTCAGTTCCTACCTCCACCCTCATCACTTCAGTATGTACTAAATTGTTTAGTAAAGTAGTAAGTAACCTGACACTTGGAAAAATGTGGTAGCTGAGAATAGAAATAGCAAGGTGAGAAAGATTGTAACCCTAGTTGTCTAATATACAAACTGGGTATTCATTGGTAGCTTAAACTAGCTTTGACATATAAGAATCTGTAGAAACAATTCAGAATTACAATGATAAACACAAATTATAACAACTTTTAAAAAGTGCACTTAATAGACATTTAGACAGTACATAAGAAAAAATAACGTGAATTGCAGTAAAAATGGCACACTATTAATGTTTTACAGTGTTCTTAACCATTGTGTATAGATTATATACTATCTGGGAGAAGAAAGGGTTGGAGGGGGTGCTGTTTTTTACTTTTGTATAAAAGTTTTAAGAAATGCATATTTTTATTAATAAAATGAAAAAATTAAGTTCATTTATAAAGTCTTATTCATATAAACTTAATTTTGCTTGATTTTATTTTTTTGAGTTTTTATTTAAGTTTTGTTAAGAGCTAAATAATTAACCTGTATAACTACTACATATATAGAACTGTTGTACTTTAATTCTCACGTTAGAAACTGCCTTAAAGAAAGCTTCTAGTTGCTGAAGTAGCACTTAAAATAGCAGTAATAGGTAGAAGAGATTGAGTTAATATTGGGTCTGAAAGTTAATAATTGGGAAAAAGGTTAAGGAGAAATACGTAAGAACAAGGAATGAAGTATATTATCCAAAATGGAGGATGGAGAGGAGAAGGGTATGTATATATTGTTATATTTTATTAGATTCATAAAACATATGGATAAAATACTAATAACCCAAAAATTTCTACTAGTTGCCATAGTAGGCAGAGAGTTTGTTAAATGCTACATGATTTTTGCTATTATAAGAGAAAATGAATGTACTATGAAATTATTATTGGTGAAATTTAGACAATTTGGAAGGAATTTTCTCAATGGTAAAGCTATTGATTGTATATAATTATAGAGAAGAAACTTAGATTTCATTTAGACTGGAAATTTCAAGTAATGGAGAGGTGTATTAAAGAAGTTACTGGCCCAGCCCTGGCCCATTTTGCTCAGCGGTTAGAGCGTCAGCCCGTGGACCAGTGAAATGTGGGTTCGATTCTGGTCAAGAGCATGTACCTTGGCTGTGGTTCGTCCCCAGCCCTGGTCAGGGTCGTGCAGGAAGCAACCAGTCAATGCGTCTCTTTCACATCGATGTCGTTCTCTCTCTCCCTCCTTCCTACTCTGTCTGAGGATAAATGGAAAAATATACTCAGATGAGAATTAAAAACTGCCCGTTAGAGCAGTTTCTCAATCCATTGACACTTTGGGGTGGATAATTCTTTGCTGTGAAGAGATGTCCTATGAATTGTAGAGTATTTAGTGTCCCTCTTTCCACTAAATGCCATCGACTCCCTCAATCTTGACAATAAAAAATGTTTCCATACATTGCCAAGTGTCCCATGCAAAATTGTTCCATTTGAGCACCATTGTAATAGTTTGGCCGTGTTACTGCTTTGAAATGTTTTACACAAGAACAGTCAAGGCCAACATTAAAGCTATGTAGCCATGTCCTGCATGCTGATAAAATTGAGTGGTTGTATTAAGAGTCAGTAAAGGTGAAACTGAGGATGTATAAAATAACTTATTTTTTTAAAGACCTTGTCCAAAGAGTTTGTTTGCTATCTTGTATAAAATTCAGTGAATTTTTTCCCCCTTAAATGGATTAAAACTCAAGAAAAAGTAGAGAGGGAATGTGAACTGAGTTTTACTTAATTCCAGAAATGTATCTTTTTTTTTTTTTTTTTTTTTTTTTATCCTCACCCGAGGATATTTTTTGTACAGATAGCGTGGGAGGGAGAGAGAGGAAGGGAGAGAGAGAGAGAAACATCGATGTGAAGGGACACATCGAGTGGCTGCCACCCGCACGACCAACCAGGGCCGGGGACAAACTGCAACCGAAGTACGTGCCCTTAGCGGGAACCGAACCCGGGTCTCTCCGGACCGCAGGCCGACGCTCTAACCGCTGAGCCAAACTGGCCAGGGCCAGAAATGTATCTTGATATTTATTCAATAAATTCTTAGTTAATAATGTTCTAACGTGCCATGTAGTTATAAAAGTTAAAGAATCTTAAAACCTAAAATAAAAAAAAATGCAAGCCCACCCCAAAAGTAGCCTCACTCCCATTTACCTGAATTTGTTAATACCAATGTGTATGTGGGTTACAGATGTATAAACATAAGTATAAAGTACTATACCTGACTATATATTACATTTTTGTTACAAAAATGGGCTCTTTTTCCTACTCATTTGTATTTGTAGTATTTCCTATTTAATAAACTTTTTCTGTCAGACACTT